CATTATCCATCTAAACTCATTTACCTTATGTTGCGTGAGGATGCAACAGCCTCCCTGATAGGTGTAAGCAACATGTCGTCCGGTAGCTTGAGGGTACCAGCGAGATTAGCAAACGTGCGCATTTCAGTTAAAACAAACACAAAACAATTCAATAAGTTCTAATTATCTCTTCAGCGCCAACATAATAACATGAAAATATATACGAGGACAGGTAAGGTGAGACCGGAACAAATTAGAACAGCGTAGGGGACAGGCGTGACACCCCTACGCCTAGGGCAGCCGTCGGCTTACGAACAACTGTTTCTGCACACAGGGTACGCGTTTGATACGGCTGATCATGACTGCCTCTGCGAAATGTAGGAAACGGTCCTTAGTAAGTCTTAACACGATTGTAAACATTTTGGTCTGATCAAACTGATGACAGTTAGCCAGCAAATGCGTACCTATGGATGAAGCAGGTGGCTTACGTGAACAGGTGGTATGAGCAACCGACGACTTGGTGATTTGATGCTGCAACCACTTAGATACATGCCTCATTATTCTGCAGTTCAACGATCTGTTTGTACGACCGATGTAGTGTATTCCACAAATAGAAGCAAATTGTAAATACGATGTGAGTTGGCGCCAATACGTTGTCCTTGCGTCATTGGGGTAACAGGTATTCAATTAGTCTGGTGGATCAGAAGAGTTACAGCAGCAAAGTAAGTTCTCTGGACTGCGGAAGTTATGCGCTTCGTTGCCCTCATATTGGAAAAATCAGCCTTAAATGGTAGCTCGATTTAAATCTTCTAATTAGACACTGTCGTAGCGTTTTGTCCCGGCAATCTCGTCCGACTATGTTTATCGGTGAATCTTCTTGGATAGGCATTTTGCAACAGCGTATCATTGGGCGAGGTTATATCATCATCTAAATTGTCGGTGGTGCATATTTTGCTTGCACGGTCGGACAACATCCTGACTAAGGTCCGCTTGTACCGCATCGGGGAGATGCTGCTAAAGTACAAGTACTGCCCTGACCAAGTCGGTCTTCGGTAAACCTCTCTTCTGATGGACCCATCTGCTTTTCGGCAAATCAACACGTCATAATATGGGAGGCAGGTACTTTCCTCTGTTTCGCTGCTTACTTTTAGATTCGTATGCAAATTATTCAGACGATCGGCCAGACGCGCAATGGGATCCTCTGATGAACTATACACAAATATATCATCCACATACCGCTTATAGTAGGGAATAAGTGATATTTCTGCCCTCAACTTCATTTCAAGCTTCCACGTGAAAAATCTCCTAGCAATGCGTCCAACGGACTACCCATCACCACCACACCCATCTGGCGATAAGGAATGTTTTGAAATTGGAAATCGATGTTCTCAGTGCATAATAGTAAGTCTTCCTTTAATAATTCAGCTGGGAAGGAAGAGTTAAATCCGGGCACTGCCATTTCACACACGTTATCAACTGTTTCATGTAGTGAAACATTGGTGCAACGTGATTGTGCATGCAATGTGCCCATGAATTTATCGGCTAGGTTAAGTACATCTAAAGCGTCTGTAACTTAGAGAGTCCTTCTGACGATGTAGGATAGTCCGCCGCTTTAACGGCGCAAGTAGTTCCACCAGCCAACGAGCCAACTCATGTTCTGCCGAGTTCACAATTGACAACCTGGGTCTAAGTGGTGTAATACATTTATCGATCTTCCGCAAACTGTATGGCTAAGCTGTGATAGACTATCAAGGTTCAAGGCCGTCATATACCTCATCATCAATATGGTGGTGTAAGAGGAGCAACCATTGGTGTTCCGTGATGCGTTCAACTAATTTATTAACGCCATCTGCTCCTCAAATAATTATATAAAAGCATAAAAGCGGTAGGAAGTGATTACCTCAGATTTACGGGTTGGCGAAGACCGAGACATCCGGAATATTTCCTAGGACAATCGATGAGATACCATCGTTCGTTTCCCGAGGGCAACCCAATCTCGGCGATTTCGCTCTGGAGGTCTTGGGTATTCGTGTACATGCATAAAAGTTTTGCGGTTCCCAAAATCGATCCGAAAGTCTTGTGGCTAGAATGCGAGGTTGTTTGATCGACGGCTAGCCGTATTATGTGAAGTGATCAGCGATTCGATAAGAGTTGGTATCCGTGGCATCGTATTTTCCTCCTCAGACAGCGTCGTTTGCTTAATCCATGGGGAGTGGTATTAGGATTTAATAGGAGCATCCATAATTCCTTCCTACCTGCTTCTCTTATGCAATTTGAGTGAGATCATCGCCTCGTTTACCTGCTGCGGTAATGCTTTAATTTGGACGACGGATTCGGCCTGTGTTTTGAACCGGAGCTCCGTTGGCAGTCTGTTTCGGAGCTAATACCAGCGCACGGCAGTAGAAGTGCCATCTGCATATTTGGCTGCATAATCTTCAGTGGTCTGGAACCACACCCGTTGTAGCATGCCGATCGTGGCAGTCTCAAACTAAAAGCAGTGACAAGTTTATTCGGGAAGTTCACGGAAGTCCACTCCAACTTCCAAGGCAGCTTTAGCCTGACAAATAATTGTTTTTGAACACACAAGGCTGGCTTCATCCGGCTTATAGCGACAGCCTTAGCAAACCGAAGGACGGGTGGATCCGTTTCACGTAACACAACTGTAATCGCTTAGCCAAGCTCTATCCGGTGACATGAGTCTAATAGGTGTTTGCCTATCGAGGAAGCCGGCGGTCTGCGCTACATGGAATGTTACGAGGGTAGGCAACCTGAGAAACTTCACACTGAACCCACCTTGATACCTGGTCCTTCATTCAGGAAGTCAGCATTCTATTAGTTCTGCCTATGTAACTGTTTCCGCAGGCACAGACTATTTGGTATAAACAGTGTGAGTTGGCCCCAATATGCTGAGTTTCCTTCGTTGGAGGTATGGACAAATTCCGGGTTCGATATATGACGACAACTTGTTCAGCATAGTAACTTCCTTGTGTAGCCGAAATCATACGCTTATTTGTCTTCAGCGTGGCTAAACCACATTTGAAAGGTAAATCGGTATACACTTCTTCTTGCCGTTAAGTCATTTGGCCCTCGCGCTTGTCTATGTATCTCGATAAATATTCCAGGGTGATCCGATTGCCATTAGTGCTGCTCTAATTAACACTATCTCGTCGTCAGAGACACGACTGGCACGACTAACTGGAGTCTTCACAAGTGTTCGTTTGTAACGTACTGGTGTGAAGCTGGTGAAGTGCAAGTACTGGCCGGACCAAGTTGATTTTCGGTAAATGGACCTCTTAATAAATCCATCATAATTTCGACTTATGAGTATGTCTAGATATAGCAGACAACTGCTCTGTTTGACTTCGCATGTAACCCGTAAGTTAGCATGAGCACAATTGAGCTGTTCTACCAACTGTGTGATCTGCAGCTCCGACGAACAGCAAGCCAAGATATCATCCACATATCGTTTGTAGTAGGGCACCTGGGCTATTCCCGTAGAAATGCTTCTTTCTACCATCAGCATGAAGAAATCAGCGAGCACATGACCTAATGGGCTACCCATTGCTAGGTCGTCAATTTGACGGTATGGAGTATTCTGGAAGGGGAAATATACATTATCCGTGCGCAATAGTCGAGATTCTCTTAATAATTCAGTCGGAATTGGTAGCGAGCAGCTACCGATTTCAGGTAATTCGCACACGTTATCAAGCGTCTGATGTAGCGGGAGGTTAGTAAATAAGGATTTTACATTCAAGGAACATATGATTTTGTCTAACAAGTTGAGTTCATCCAGGTCGCCGTTAAGTTGTAACAAGTCTTAAAGACTGTACGGATTGAACTGTAGTTTCAGCGGAGATATCAACTTCCCTAACCAACGAGCGAGTTTATGCCGGGGCGTATTCATCTTTGAAATGATTGGCCTTAGTGGCACTTCCCTCTTATGTGTCTTTGGGAACCCATACAACCGTGGAATAGTGCTACCACTCGGCTTCAAACTATTAAATGTATCACAGTCAATCACTGCGGTGGAGGAGAAGCAATTGCAGGTGACGAACTAAGCGCGTTTTCACATCGGTTATGTCCCCCACTTTCGTGAGCCGTACGAAGTTACTCGCATCGTTGCGTATCACGCACACCTTCTCATTATATTCGGTTTTGTTCAAGATCACCACTCCTGACCATTTATCCGGTTACAATACCACTACGTCTTTAGATCCTTGTCCACGTAAGGCCTGAAAATGTTGAGCAGATATGGCACATTTTTCATTAACGCATGGTTTTCATCTCCTGGGCAATATCGGTTAACTAAATTTCCGAACACAATAGCATTATCAGGGCTGGTTGGTTGGGGTCTCTTAAACTAGGCAAAATTTTATTAACTTGAGCTTCTATAAACAAGCAATGCCCGCGTCAGATTCCATGTTCGCGCAGACAGTCGGCTTACTCGATAAGCAAACACCTATTAGACTCAGGTCCCCGGATAGAGCTGGGCTAAGCGTTTACAGTTGTGTTACGTCAAACGAATCCACCCGTCCTTCGGTTTGCTGAGGCTGTCGCTCTAAGCCGGATGAAGCCAGCCTTGTGTGTTAAAAACAATTATTTGTCAGCCTAAAGCTGCTCTGGACGTAGGAGTGAACTTCCATCATTCGTTCTGCACCTCATGCTTCGCCGGTTTCACCCACAGTTAACTAGATATATGCTTATCGTTTATTGCTAATGCTAATGAGGAGACAATACGAAATGCGTGCATCTACCAGCCTTCGTCTACCTTCATTGCTTTTCAAATTTTCTAATATTAAACTGGACACTTTTACCAAACGGATTATAACACAACAAGGCTGAGTGCTCGTTGCTAAATTACATCTTGCTATATCCATATTTCAATTGCAAATAACAAATTGATTTTAGAGAATTATTGAAAACGTTCAGCTTGATGATCACGCGAGTGACCTCAACATATAGGTCACATTGCTATACTTTTCTTTCAAGCGTAATTTCTACCCGAGTGAAAAGCGGTAAACATGGTCACATTCCCCAATATTCTGAGCGAGTCGCGCGACTTTTCGGTTCCGTTTGATGGTTTGGCCTTTCATGCATTAACCGCAAGCAAACGAGACAATATAAAGTGCAACCCACATGCGTGTTGTTATAATTTGTCGCATATTGTACAGGGAAAACCGTTGAGCCGTCATGCGTCTCATCATTCAAACCGCAATTATGGTGAGTTGAAAGTATTGCATCGGGTTGTTTAGGACTAATGTGAACCTGACCAAACGCTTCAAAATATATCTATCATCTACGCATATGTAATGGGTTAAGAACATGCCACGCATCCCACCCAAATGATTGGAACTTGTTATACCCCTTCAATAGTAAACCGTTGGGAGCAATTTGACTCTCAGTAATTAGACAACCCCTGGATGTATATATCAAAGGAACATTCAGGTTGAATACTACCAATGCTACCATGTCATTTATCCAATGTCAGTAAGCGCGTGGGAGGAAAAGCGTCCATGGCCGCAGTAGATATGCCAATTATCTTGCATCAATTCTAAAACTAGTGATTTTAGGTGTCGCTCTGTTATCCAGTGAGCTACAACACTGTACTAAACAGCTTGAACACATTTTGTTACACATTTGGCATATTAGAAGTCGTGCGTAGTGCACAACCAATTTTAACTGGAAGCTCCCATTTAGTTATAATAGTTAATTACCTAACCATTATGCAGGATATCCTAAATACACGATGTCTGTATTGCTTGAGTACACTGACATAACTGGACAAGTGTTAAGCGAGTAAAAATCATTCAGCGACTACTGAGCACTGATGATATCGATACAGCAAGCATACATCGTTTTACCCAAAATATGGGAGAAACCGGTTGGACATACTTGGTAGTAGTTTGCAAAGTTTGGGATTTCAGCTGATTTTTGGGGAGCCGAATTCCTTCAAGCGCTATCCATATTGTCGGTTGTTCAATTATTAGTGATTGCACAGCCATCCTTCTTAAGACACAGTAGACGTTTACTTGTGACTTGAAGAAATACCTCAGGGATATTATGCTTCTTACAAAGGGCTTGACAACATGGTGGCAGGCGTTGCATTTCCGAGGTAAACACACCAAACCATTGGGTGCTGTATCTCTTGCATCTGCTGTTCGACTCATTTTTAACTGCGACAATGCATTTGTCGTTTGGTTTCATCTGCTTCCACATTCTTTACATGGCGTTAAATTGATCAGCAACCGACATATTTATAGTAGACAAGGCTTGGGCTATAAAAGCCATGTGAATTTTAATGCGCCATGGTAATTACACGCAAATTCAGCCACCCCAAAACTGTCCTATAATTGTGGTCGCTGAGTCAACAAATTTCCATTTGTCCTCAGTACTTACGTGTTGTGTTCGTTAAACAGCTTTATAAGTTGATTGTAATTTACTCCTCATCAAAAATTTTAGTTGACTGATCAATAACCTTCATAATAAATTAAATATTCCACTGAAGGTTTCGTCAGATTTGGTGTTACATGAGCGGCAGCATCTGACATAATTGCAGCGCTTGTAAAAGTAATCCTAATGCTGCAATCGCCCGAATGCTGCAAGCCACGAGTTGATTCCAACCATCTTGAAATTCCCTGTCGTTGGGGACCAGCCAGGTTAATTGTGGGAAGAACTATTCGGCGTCTTAGAAATAAAGTTTAATGTGGCCTAGCAATGCCAATAAATACAATTTGTTCGTATAATATTTTTCTACAAGCATCTCTAAATATGGCTCTGATTAGTCTATTATATTTCGAACCCCAAATGCTGTGGTATCTACACTCCCTAACTAAAATGAGAAAACCGACTGAGATATCCACCAAAAAATTGTAGCTCACCGATGAATACAACATCAGTCATATATTGGTCGTTCAATACATACGAACTCAGTGGCGGGTCATTGTCGGACCATCAACAGCGCGGACTTCCCTAACTCTATACAAAAAGAACACAGGTGGTGCGAACTGTGCCAAGATTTTCAGAAACATTGAAAGCGTGCTAAATCCAGGGAACATTCTTCAGCATTTGATTGCACAGGGAATATAACAACGACCTTCTTCAGTATATAAGCTTTCTCGAGTCATGTGAGGATAGTCACAAGATATCGGTCTGCATAGACCAACAACTGACACATTGTTTACGTCAGACGTTCACCATGTTTCTCCATTTTGTGTTTCTATAAATCGTTTTGCTGCATGCACAAAGTACCATTTAGCTCGCTTACTATAATGCCGTATCGTAGCCGATAATTCCATCAGGATATGTCTACGTTTGCAATAGTCCGGGATTAGTGGTAGCAGCGCTGCATCTTAAAAGTTGGAGTGCAGTTTTATTTGACAAGTGCACACCAATGATCAGCACTCGTATTCAGTAGAGAGACAATGGCATCAGCTCTGCAAATTGCAACTCAGTAGCGCTGTAACAAAAGCATTTGCATTTAGTGAAAGTCATTATTGTAGTTGCACTGATGGTCTAACGGATAGTTTGCAGCAACCATCACCGAAAGAATATGAGTTTTCTCAACATTACTAGTGACTAAATTAATCGCTGATTTCACACAGCAGTTGGTTTTCAGTTTCAGTTGAAATGCCTAACCAGGAAATCGCCTGAGTGCTGGTCAGTTGAATTATGATACAGGCCTCAGAATTACGGCACTGGATACCTAATGTAAGAGCGGACCATTAACTGTTCTGCGCCAACGCTATCCTCACCTTAGTGACCAGAGAAAATGCATCGAATTTAACAAATCCGGTACAGCGTACAAACTTACCCTCGATGGGGCTTTGGCTCTCTTGGATTTTCTAAAATATATAACCACATTTGTGGCTAATATATATCTATCCTCGATGATGCTGTAAAATTAGTGTAGGTCATTTGGAGAAAGAACGGACATAAAGGTTCCCAGGGGGACCTTGACGATACGTCATTTTGTTCGGTTCAAAATATAATACCATTTGAAATAAAGCTTTTTGGAACTTTTAACACGTCACCGAAACAATTGCAAATTTCATTCTGACACAAACTGCTTGTCAATCAGTTCACAAGAAAGTTATCTGCATATGTTGACACATAATACTCGCATTGTCCTTGGTTTGCTACTGATTGCACTCAAAGCGTTTGATCAGTTGTTGCAATAAAAGCCAACCTTTATATGATATACAATCCTGAGGAATTCAATAACTTCTTTGCGTTTCCAGAAGTGTCAATACGCCGCATATTAGGCGAGATAACGGCCTGCAAAACCTATCTTTTCAGTTAAGTTTAGAGAAATTAATAATTCTCAGTTGCGCTACAAATGGTTGCGTGTTACTTGCAAATCCATTTGTAAAATAGTCAAGAATCTGAATAAGAGACAGCCGGTCATTTGACGGTTAAAAGCTGACTTAGTAATACAGTTATCAAGCGTGCCAGTGAGCTCACATTTTCATTTCCCCTGCTAAACCACGTAAGCAAAACTAAAGGTAAACCTACTTCTCTTCATCTAATACGTTCAGACACGTTTGATATTGCTCACAGACTCCTGCAATTCGTACACATATCTGTACTGTTTTGGCAATTTCCAAATGACATTTTGTTACTGCATCAACATGGAAAAGAGGAAAGGTGTGTAGGATTCACTCAACGTCACTGTTCTTAAGCAATTTTCCATGTAATGGCCCAGTCAAAGTTTTCAAGTACATCCTCAATTCTTACATGTATTATGTATGCTGAAATATAGTTTTCACCACTACTTTTCTACATGCCTTAGGTCATTTTCTTCTGGCTGAGGCAGTCACTCTCGCAGAGTACGAACCAAGGAGCAAACAATTATGTCTGCATATGTGACATGAATGATGATTTCACTACTTACAGAGAAGAACCGACATATATTCACTACAATGATGGGTCAGTCGTCATCAGTCGTCCCACCTGTTCGGAAAACTGCCACCTTATGTACAGAATGTAAAACGGTACCAGATGAAGAGCAAAACGCAGCTTTACGGTGTTATTAGGAATTCATGTTTTCATGATATAATGAATAAGATATTGCATCTGTTCCAAATCACAAAAATGTTTTATTACAAACCTGAATAAATATGTGGTTTGAGGGTATCTTTGTAGCCTTAATATCTCATGAGTAAAATATCGTTTATCCATGTGTCACGTCACTTTTCAGCAACATAAACGATCGATCTGTATACTAAGTTGAAACAGTTACACTTGCTTCGGAGTTGTATAATTGACCTGAGTCGACATGAGTACATGTCAGAAACTGTTTATTAATAGCATTCGTGCCAATCTATTTAAAAGGATCACCCGACGATTTCCCTTCCAAGAATTAAGAATAAATTCGTGGTGGCGATCACAAAACATTACAGAAAAGACTAGTGTTTGTTTCATAGTACATACAGAATATTGTTATGGTTTACGCAACAGCCGGCTGTCGTTAACTGGACCGTGACGTAAGCAACATCCCTTTGGATCCTTGCACTGACTCTAGACGGGCCGATTCACGCTTACCGAGTGCATGGTTATGTTGGCCTCTCTATTCCCATCCCTAATAGACTGCACGGTGGTGTCTGATTAACTATCCGCCCATTTAGCTTCTAACCCCAAGATTGGCTGGTTGCCACAGCGGAGCGTGTAGTTAACATGGACTCAGGCGTATGTCCTCCGTTCGCCGTACATTTGACCAACCCGCTTTTCTGCGGTCCAAAGAATGCTGGTTTTCCATTGTGCTGGACCGGATGCGTTCCGCGTAATCACTTCCCTTGACTTAGGTATGATTGGATATTCATCCATTAAATTAATGCTTCCACGGTTGCATTTGCATCATAACTGAGCGTGTTGTTAACATGCACACATG